AGAAGACCATGAATCCCCCAAGCACGGCAAATGCGCCGTAGTCCCTTAAACCCGATTGCACATTGCTTATCACTTCTCTCAGGCCCACGAGTCATGTCATCTCGCTGTTTCAAGTGAATAAACGACCATGACTCGCGTGCCAACTGTTTTCTTTTTTTTCTTTCTTTCTCTTCTTCAATTCACATGCTTCCTATCCCACACACCCCTATTCTGTTCTTCCCCTCCCCCTTTGTCCCTTCTTTCATTATTAACTTATAGATATTACTGCTGATTCGATCCCCCTCACCAAGTGCTGGAGGGCTGGGACCAGAGTGAGCCACTTGCGACTTATTGTTCAAATTAACATGGGGCCATGCAAACTGTACCTACATAATGAGATTGATGAGAGAGAAGAGAAGTCGGAGAGAAGAGGAAGAAAAAGGGGGTGGTAATGAAATGGACTGAACACACATCACACACAACTGGGCCCGGCGATTCGCGGTTGGGGCACCCACATTAGCGATTATAATTAGATGACTGTTAATATTCTTTTCATGAAAATTTTGATATTTACCACTTGATCCTTGTGATGCATTCACCCGATGTTTCCTCTTATAATAATAGTAGTAGTAGTAGTAGTAGTAGCTTAGAAGAGATATCGTGTCAACTGCTCAATTATGGTCTATGCTGGTAGTGAACAAAGACAATTGATCTATCTATCGATGATGAAAATCTAACGACAGTAGCAGTATGTATATGTATGCCAAAGCGTGCTCTACTACATCTTCAATCCAGAGCAAAATAAGGCAAAAGCAGTGGTCTATATATGCCATTGCTGTATGTATGCATCTAGTATGTATTGATGGATAAAAGAGAATGCCATGTATAATCCAGGCGAATCCAAAACCCATCCCCGAAACAAAGAATAACCAAAAGCGCCGCCCAAAGAGACCATCCTGTAAGCAAATGCTATGTATGCTCGGCTAAGAATCAAGTCTTCGTCTTGGTGAAGAATATCTGAAATGAAGAACTCCAGTTCAACCGCCGCAGGTGATCGCTAACGCCAAAGAAGCAGCCAATAGGAAGATATGAAAGAAACACAAGGTCTATTCCCGGTGCATGGGGAAAGGAAGCCATAACGTCGTAATGAATAAATCATGTTCGCCTGTTGGATGCAGGTGCCTGACCTGGGTTGTGTCGGGTACCGGTATGCAGAAACCAAAAAATAGCGACAAGTAGGGTATAGTAATACAGAATGAAATCATAATCAAACTGTACCGTATCTCTCCCGCTCGTTCTGCAGGAGAGATTGGTTCTCTTCTGAAGAGACAGGAGCATCGGAGCGAAGTCGTCGCGCAGGGGACACTGAGGGGATCCAGCCTCTCATCCAGCCCCGAACGCGGGTCCAACGACTACGTCCGTCTTTGGGGTCTTCAACTTGCATGATAGACTCGTCATCTCGGGTTCCGTACATGAGGAATTGCACACCCATGAGCCCGTCAAAGGCAAGCACACCGAAGGCGCCAAGGAAGAAGGGAGTAGCTCGGGTGACCCATTCGAGGCGATCATTGCCATCTGCGTCGGCCCAGCCACCACCCCCATAAGCAGGGAAGTCATACCAGGCGTTGGGATTGGTAAGAAGGGAGGCAGAGTAGAAGAGGTTCCCGCAAAAGGCAGCCATGAATAGTAATGGGGAAAGGCCTGATGTGCTCTTCCGGCAGTAGTTCTTGTATAGTTGGGGCGGCCGCGAGCCAAGGTAGAGGAATGTTGACATCCAGGAGATGATCCGGCCGAGGATCTCGAGAGTCTTCTGCGAGGATTCGGAAGTTGTTTGCGGCTCTGTCGGGGCAGCGTTGGCCACCACGGCGCAAAGCATTGATGCAAGCAGCAGAGTTCGTGGTGACCCAATTGGGAGGCTGGGGCCACTACTGGATCGGGTAATCGAGCGCTTAGAAGAGCTCAGTTTCTCATTGGAGTAAGATGGAGATTGCCCGTTGGAAGTTGGCATGGCAGGCTCCTTCATATCTTTCACATCTTTGGGATTTGAAGGTAAGGGAGACTCGGTAGAATGAGGGGCGTGATCGGAAGAGCCGTTGTCGGAGAACGAGACGCCTTCCAAGACACTACCCGGGGGCTGATCATATTCCGAATGAGAGAGGGCACCGTAGCCATCATACTGTCCTTTGTAGTGTGTGTACCAGAAGTATTGAAAGACCAAAGTCACGTCAACGCAGACATAGTAAGCAGCCACGATGACCTGCCAGCCAGCCTGCTGGGTGAGCAGGGCACCGAGAAGATTACTAGTATCACCCAAACACCACTCCACGAGAAAGAACAGCGACAAGCCAGCCGTCGACTGGATTTGATAGTTCTTGTATATTTGTGGGAGCTGGGCGAAGAGCCAGGACACGATGCTGAGGGTTCCGAGAACGGAGGAGACGAAGGCTAACGGTGTGGGGAGGCAGATGTGGAGGTAGGAGGACACGGCCGCGAGGAAGGGAGTTGTCGGTTCACAGTGTTGCGGGAGCACTGCATGAATCTGTTGTAAGAGAGGAGGAGGCATGGCTATTGCTTGTGCGGAAGTCTAATATCTGTGTGTGACCTGGAGAGACAGTAGAGGTATCTTGGTTGTTGGAAGTATAGGACGTGTCTCTGTAGCGGTATGAAGGAGGAACGCTAGATAAGGGCGATAAGACGAACAAAAGCGAAGAAGCCCGAGAATATATTTGGTGATGGGCAATCCCGTCAGCAGCGAGAAGAAAGACGGGGGAAGGATATGAGAGAAGATGAAGAAGGAAGAAGAGAGAGAGAAAGAGAAAGAGAAAGAGAGAGAGGAAGGAGAGGGAGGTAAAGGCATGCGCGACAAGGGAAGGGAGTCAGTCAGTCAATCAGTCACACTTGGCGGCCTCGAGATCGAGTCACGAGTTGATTTCTGGGGCTGAGGATGGAGGATGATCCCTATCGCCGCCTGCTGATTGGCTTTCCCCCAGAGGCAAAGGGGACGGAATGGAGCGGACTCCGTTCGGCAACAATTGGTGAATTTACACTAATTTGGAACTATCTTGACTAACGCCAATCAATAATCCTCATCTTCATTCCGGATCTGCTGGTTTATCCGCATTGGCATCATTGCAGATAATGAGTGATGACTCTCTCTCTCTCTCTCTCAGCTCGCTCTTCTCCCCCTCTTTCCGGTAACCATACCCCTTTCCAAACCCCGGAATTATCCTCTGGTCTGCCTACTTCTGCGCTTCGGTCGGCTGTTCACATTCCCACTGCATTCATCGCTCAAACTCTCCGAGATTAAGTCAGACTGAGCGTGGGGTGACACGGGCAATACTGAATGATTGCCGAACGGAAGAGACCATGATAGACTTTTTTTTACTCCGAATCACAGTCTTGCCTTCATCCCATGGATGCGAAGACGCCTTTCCAAGGCAGACCCCGAAACTTCCCAGACCCGCCTAAGACAATCCCCGGTCAAGATCACGGCTGCCCCGCGAGTCCTGACCCACACTGTTTATTGAAGGTTAAATCCAGGCAAAAGCACAGACAGCACCGTCGATTGCAACCCTAAGCTCCTGCTACGATAGGCTACTCGTTCGGATTTCAAACAATACATACTTCACTGCACTCTCTGTTGAGACATACATAGCTCGGGTTGACGGATGGCCTATTTCGGCCTGCATCTTGTCTCGGAGATATCAGGGATGTTTTCGGCAAGGACCGCAAAGGGACACTGACGTAGCAGAGAGCAAGTGAAGCCTTATCTCACTGGACTGTCTCGTTATGATTGCCAAGCAGACAGACACAAGAAATAACGGTGAGAGATATAGATATGGAGCATATCGGTTCTCCGTTCGTAGATCCGCTAGCATCTCCCCTACCAGCTGATTAGACGCTTATCTCCACGATAACCCCCAGCCCACGCTATCTATAAAGATACTCATGATCATCTGACTTCCATCTATCTTCACTCAGCTTGAGAATGATCTCAACGTGCACACCATTACTTAAGAAATTTCAAGGGCAAACATGCACGCGATCAACTACTCAAAATCTCAAAAAATCCCGCCTCACCGCCTAATCACGATCTCACGATCGAGGCGCGTAAACCAGGATGTGGATGGCACTAAAACATGCAGGTACAAGGGTCCCCTTCGTCTTGGTGATTAGACCCTGAACTGTCGCCATAAGTTAACATCCGTCATGATGTCAATCATGAAGTCTGTAAATAATCATCAAATTAGCAGACTCAACTGTACTACACTCATTCTTTACTATTCCAGTTCACACCCCTCTATCCCCAAACCCAACCAAGAGAGATAACTACCACTGCAAGACGTCAGAACTATAACACGCCTTTATATACCCTCATCATCACAACCTACCGTGAACCTAATAACAGCCATCCTAAAATAACTCTGTACATCGCACAATCCCGCCATCAAGTCACACCATCACAAGTAGCCAAAGCACCCCACACTACCTATCCCACCACTTCACATTCACCAGCACCAGCACCTATCCACAATCCACAATAGACCATCTAGAACCCATCCAGCCCTCTCATTCAATCTTCAATCGCGTCCCAACGCGTCACGAACCACCTTTCCCATTGGCCAGCACCCAGAAAGTGGATTTTGGCGATTCTTTCGACATCCAAGATGGCCCGAGAATATTATTGGCTTATTTGCGTGGTTGAAGAGTTGTGGATTGTTTCTGGTGAATGAGAGCTAGCTGGATTAGGGTAAGTGGGATGAGGGGAATAGTAGAGATTAGATGAACTGATATTGATTCATCTTTCTGGGTGAGATCAGTTGTGGGAAGGTTCTGTTGGTTGTGTAGGGTAGGATAGGATACTTATGGATGAGGTTCCTTGTGTATTCTGGAGAATATTGATGAGTACGAAGTATATCAATTGAATAACCGACTGTCTCTATATAGCTAGTAATCCATGGATAGTAAATAGAAGCGTGAACAGATACAAAGAGGGTATCAGCATCCAATATCCAACATCACTCACTGCACGAGAACATCCTAAAACATAATCATAACCCATAAATCATAACTCATAACTCATACCTCATAATACCCCCCTACCACTCCTCCTCCTCCTCATATCGACTCCGACTCCGACTCCGATGTTCATGTCCATGTCCATGATGATGGTGATGGTGGTGATGGTGATGATGTCCATGTCCATGTCCATGACTCGACGACCGCCGATAATGATTACTATGATATCTCGTATATTCCGTCTCGCGATCATCATCAACCTCCACTTCCTCGACCTCTTCATCACTATCACTCTTCTTCATCTTATTACTAACGAAGTTCCCTAGGATCGCACCCCCAACTGCACCCAAGAGTCCATGGTCTTTCTTATGTCCCAGATAATACCCCGTCGCGCCGCCCAGGACAGCTCCACCGAGGCTGCGCTCGCCTTCTTCTTCTTCTTTACCGGCAGCAGCACCACCACCAGCGGTGGTAGGATCATTATCGTAGGCGCGGGATTGCTGTTGAGTCTCCGGGGCTGGAGGAGCAGGAGGAGGGGCTTGCATTTCTGCGGCGGATTGGGCACTATTTGTCCCCCGCTGTGGTCAATAACACATAACCATATACATACAAAGAACGCGATATAGATATAGAATGCGGCAGAGGTATGGGAACAGACTAATACTCAGCATTACTCCCCCTTCGAACAAGCGGCTCGTAGCCCGGTGCCAGACGATCGGGATCATATTGCGGCACAGTAGCATTAGACTCATTGTTAACATTGTTGAGATTGGTATTGCTGCTAGCAGCCTGCGGATTCCATTGTGTCGGATAAGACCGAGGAATCTGGCTCACGTCGTACTGAGAACTATAAGCGGGATCTTGATTCGGCAGTGCATGCTGGTTGTAGAACTGTTGCGGTTCGTAGTCGTATCCTGCGTGCTGGTAGACGCCGTCCGGGGGAGAGTAGTATGGAGTCTCGCTGTTTGGGACGGATGAGGGGTATGGTTGTTGTTGGTGGTGGGGGTAGGGGTCAGTCATTTTTGGAGGTATGGAATTTGCGATGGATGGAATAGGTTATTGTTGATCTGGTCTGATTTGGGAATTAATCTATGGTAGGGAATGTTGGTATGTATGTATGCAGTTGCAGTATAAATGACTGTTATATTCGGATAGTATATGGATGTCTTGTGAAGATGATCAGCTGGGGCTTGCTGCGGGTCTGGGTGGTGAGGGACTGGCGGCTGACGGGGGTGGGTTGCAGGTGACCGTGCCGCACGACTCAGCCTCGCGAACACATACGAACTGATGACTCGGACTTGGCGACAGGGTGGCCTGTTTTTACGCGGTCGGGCCGGCCTTGTTTGCTTTGGCTGGAGTGGAGCGCTCCTACAGGGCTATTGTCTTCGTGATATTCTTGATATTGCGTGATCTATCACGTAGGTTCACCAACAAAGCGGTGTGCTTGGCTGAATGCAATAGTTGATTGATGAATAACGAACATGTAGATCTAACATCACTTCATGAAAAGTCGGGGAAAAGAGCACGAGGTAGTGGAGGCATGTAGTTAGGGGTATCCCAGCAACTGTAGAAGGTGGGCTTCAAGACAGAAAACATACAAGCAAGGAGAAAAGAGACGGCTCGCAACACTAAAAGACTGAAGCATGCAAAGTAGAAAGTGAGAGCGAGATCAAGGTCAGTTATGACCGATCACCACCTGTCGGGCTGAATGGGTCGCTCTATGCAAGTGACAGCGCAGGTATGATCAAGTCCCCGAATGAGAGACGGATTGAAAGAGGGACCATAACATAGGCCAACCAAGTTCATGCGTCCAGCACATTGTTAGCCCCTGGCGAACGGAATGACCAGTCCCCTTGGAATTTGCGCGAATAACCGGAGTTGCAGATGTGACCAGTCTAGTGTACACCAAGTACCCGAGTCTAAAGACCTGCTTATTTGCTCGCCGCACTCCGCGTCCTCCGGCCTACCCACTCAGCGAGCATCGCATCCAGCTGGCTGGTCATCTCCCTTAGCCTCTTACTCTCTTCCTTGAAGAGACAGCCAGTAATCGGGTGGTCAGGACCGGCAGGCGGGATGTTAGAGTTATCGTGGACAATGATAAATAGATCACGGATGTCGTTCTCGTCATCCAAGTACGACCGCAAGCTAGCATCGCTCCAAGTCGGTGTTCCAGCAGACGCAGTCTCAAACGACGCAGGTACGGCGTCGATGCCTCGGTGGTCGCTGTCACCAGCAATAGGAGATAAAGGCGGGGACACCGATGAGACCGAGTGTCTCCCAGGGGATGGCAGGCCTGCCACCAATCCTGGTGTAAGAGGTGAAACCGGCCCTTCCAGCGGAGAACCGCTGAGGGGCGAGTCTAGACGCTGGGGCTGGTAGTTCAACACCTGCTTCGGCGGGAATCTCTGTGGAGGAGACGCCACAGAACGTTGTTGAGAATAAGTGTTCTCAGACATATCCTCCTCCCAGGTTTTCTGTATGTCAGTGGACGGGTATTCCTGGTGATCGAGTGGAGTCAAAGCCGGCTTCTTTGAAGGACTCGGCACACGGGCAGAAGACAACATAGCTTCCTGGCTGTCGTCAAAAGGCCCCAGGGGAGGAGATGATGGGATATCGTCATCCTCTTCCGATGTTACTTGTCGGATGGTTTGATCCTTCGAACTCATGACTGGTCTCGGCTCTTCTTTAGCATCGACGGGACTTTGAAGACCAGCTTCCTGGATTATGTCTTGCCTAGTTGGAGACATAGCCGAAGGGGGTTGCCTCTGCAACTTGCTGGTCTGTCTCTGCACCACCAAGGGTTTGGGCGATCGAGCAGACTCGGGAGAGGACAAAGAATCCGACGATGTCTTCGGTTGTGGGGATGTCCGAGACAGCTCCGTTGAGGTCTTTTCCGCTTCATCCGTGTCCTCATCGTTAGACTTGGTCTTCTTATCTTTCCTTTTGAACAGACCGCTGAGCATTCCTGGCTTCTTGTCTTTGCGTTTCTTGTCATCCTTGTTCTTGTCAATAGCGCTGAGCGCCTTGTCGATCGCCTCCATGCTGCCGCGACTCTGCTGACTGATTAATTTTCACAAAGACAGAGGTAATGAGATATATGCTTACCTCTTTCGCCTCACCGGATGAGTTCTCATCCCGAAGCAGGTTGGGTGTCAGAGAGATCTTCTTAGTTTCAACAGTATCATCCTTGAAGAAGGAGTCTGTATTCCGCACAGTGCCATTTCTGGACCTGCTGACAGCATTGTCCGCTGGAGACTGTTAGCTTCCATTCTGTGATCCCTGGAGAATGTCCTCACCTTCCGTTTCGAATATTTCCTGGCTGGACCGCTGTTTGTCGAGACCAGCGCTGTCAGGCTCTTGCACTTCCTGGATGTCGTCTTCTTCGAATCCTCTATCCTTCGACTTGGGCCTGAGAGGCTTGACGACAATGTCTTCATTTTGACCATCCTGTAAGTGATCCGCATCCTCACGGGCCATATCTTCGTCTTGGAAAGAAATATCGTCGTCCATTTCTTCTTCGGTCGAGTATTCCACATCAGATGCTTCGATGTATGTTGGGCTTGTGAAAGTAACGGTCTTTGCATTTCTGCGGCGCATTGCTTTCTTCAGCGGATTCTTTGACTTCTCCAAATTGTCGCCAAGCATTGTTGCGGACAACTGATGACATTAGAAAGAACCATGGACTCAAACCATCAGCACTTACATCTACGTTTCTGTGTTTATTCAGTCTTGCCAACCTCTCCGTGGGCGTCTCAATGTGTTCGGCTGGCAAGTAACCTACCGGATAATTAGCTGATGTTGTGTAACACCGAGGGGTAGCCTACCAATACTGCCATCCTTCACGATCCTAACAAGCCACCAGTAGCTGTTGCTATCGTCCAAGAGAACCATAGTATCACCCTTCGCCGCATTTGCTTGTCCGTCAACGGTCGCAAAAAAGTTGTGAAGGGCATAGACAAATTCAAAATCGATGTCCTCTGGTCAGGGTCAGTCATGGTCCAGAGCTAGACGGCTGAGGGCAAAGGAGATGTTTGGATCCAGGCGGATTGTGTGACACGCGATGTCTGCATATTTCCCGAAAGAACCAAAAGAGGCGGGACGCACCGTCATCAATCGATGGAGAGCTTGAGATCTTGTCCATGAGATCGTCGTCCATCATGTCGTCGCTCTCCCCATCCGCAAGATCGCCTTCCTCGGAACCAACAGAATCACCCTTGTGATGGTGTCCCAGCTCGTCCACTTCCTCAATATCATCATCGTCATCGTATATATCAATCCCATCGCCGTATCCAGCTTCCGGATGGCCGTCTTCGGCGCCGGGACCGTGCATCATTTCGGATTTGGTATCCTCGTCCGCATGGCGAAGGGTTTGCTCCTGGTGAGGAGCGACCCCAGATGAGTGAGTAGGTTGTCGCGTGTGATCTTTAGCTGAAGGAGCGTTTTGGTCTTGGAGGTCAAGGGTGTCTATCATAACATAATCCGGGTCAGCAAGGGCGGAGACGGTATACGGATCGGCAACCATGTGCTGGGAGTAGACGTACCAGCCCGTACAATCCGTGGCCTCGCCATGTTTGCTACGTATCTAAGCAGTCACAACTATGGATTTGAAGGGAGCGTCTCTCAAGATTTCCGCACGAAGGCACGACTTATGGGATCACGGGCATTGGAACCACGTGGTAACGCAACTGGCCGCTGCCCGACGTCCGGGTGGGAACGGTAAGGGAGTGTGAAGATATATTGGAAAATCGAAAAAGGAGCGAATTCCACTGGAAATTCTAGCTGCGAAGGATGTATCGACGCGAAAGAAGGAAGGAGACGCCAGGAACAGCAACGGCGGGGGTGGGTACTTGGGCGTCCGACCAGGCGACGAGGGTTCAGGCAACAAGGCGAAAGAAAGACTTCCAGAGTGACGCAAAGACGAAAGCAAAAGCGAAGCAATAGGAAACGATAGCCAAAAACGCCGATGTTTTGGAGAAGTGAAGCTGGTGCCCAGAACCGAGTCAAGAAACCAAAGGCCGGACGAGTTCCCCGGACTTTCTGGATTGTTTGAGACAGTCCCGAAAAAAGGAGGTCTCTAAACTGGTTGCTCCAAACAAGCGCCCCTTGCGCGCGCTTATCCACTTCCTACCAAAGAATGGCGCTCAGGGCCCGTGCCTGGCCCTGCAGCTGACTGGCCACGCGCCAACGCCGTCTTAGGTAAGTGCATCTAACCTGAAGGGGTTAACACGATTGGGTAGCTGAGGTAAGATGATGCTTGAATAGGGCTCAGGGCATAGGGCCAGGGCGACAACATCAGGTGATGGGGGCGAGATGGGCGAATTGGCAGGTGATTAAGTGGTTCTGGAGTCACGGCGGCCTCTGACTGGCGGTGGATGGTCGATCCCTCCGTCATGAACGACGCCGTGTACCACCCAAGCTGCACTGCTGATTGGTCCAGGCTGTCCCCCACTTACGTCTGCTGCTCCGACCCTTCAATGGAACCCTTCAATTCAGCTCCGTCATCACCCGATATCGCCCTTCGTTCACCATTTTCGTCCCTGGTGTCTGACAATTTTTCTTCTTTCTTCCCTCCACAGCTGCCTAGAAGCACGCCGTTTGTTTTCCTTCTTCTGCCTAACTCCATCCCACTGCCTGCCCTATCATCCCTAGTATATTAATCTTGTTCTATTTTAGTGTTATTTCTCCATCTGACTCACTGCACTTTTGAGTTTAGCTCCGCTGTGGGATCGGGACCCTCCGATAAGTAGTAGCAGTACGGAGTCGATAAGATTACAAACGGTCTCTCCCGCCCACTCCTCCTTCTACTCCTACTCCTCTTACTATTCATTCACTCCCCCTCTTCCTTATCTTCATGTGCAAACTTCGAGTCATCCGCAAACCCCACGACAGTTAGATCGTGGCCGTCTGATCCTTGACGCCCTTGGATATTACTTTGCTCTCTCTCCGAGGGCATGGCTCAGACTGGGAGAAACAACGGGTTGGTTGGGTTGAAGCTAGAGACATCCTTTCACCATTCGCCG